CCATTCACATACTTAAAGTCATTTGATCCATTGTAATATAAAAATATTGATTACAGGAGCTTTAATTACGTCAAATTTAACACATGGGGTGCAGTAGTTTATGTATAGTTGTTTCATTCTGCTGGCTTACTAAAGAATCTGTCATTATATTATGTTCTGATGCAGCCTTCATTTTTTTCTTTACAGATATGGCAAATGTTCCAGCCTTACATATAATGTGACCTTTGAAAACAGCACAATAATAATTGGTGAGTGAAGAGGAGCCACAATGTATCGGAGATGAATGCAAACCTGCATTCACACACTTGCATAATTTCCTACGATATCCTGTTTGTGAGTGTGTGTCTGTGTGTATTTTTTTCACAGAGCAACCTTTTTACCTCAAGGAAGTCTATCTGAAGACTGACTGCTCCGACTGCCTGGTTGTCTATGAAGAAATTATCTCTGGCAAAGAGACATTCACAACTCTTTTGCTTTTTAGTAAGTAACACTCACTTACCAGTCCTAAAACACTGAAGTGGCCCTTATGTAACACAGTAAAGCACATGACTATGTTTCTGATTAAATGTTTCTGACTCTTTTATTTCCAGGCAGGAGACAGAGTGTCTCACCTGCTGATGTGGAGATGTTCAAGAAACAAGCAGAGTGTCTCCAAATGCCATCGCCCATAATGACAGACACAAATTCAGGTGAGGATTTCAAGTATTTACAGTATCTCCACATACTGTGCCTCTATAATGCCATACAGAGCAGTTTGTTTTGTGACTTATATTTAATGTGTATGTACACAGAACTCTGCCCAGAAGACAGCTCACCAGCAGAGGGGATCGGCACCTTCAACTTCTTTTTAGAGGCCAAGATGGCACATCGAGTCGCAAGACTCCTGGATGCTTTTGTTGATATGTTTGTGAACTGATTAATAGATTTCTCATTTTGTATCAGAAAGCATGGATTGTTTCCCCCTGAAATACATAATAAATTGAGAAAATGTTAAAAAAAATTATGATGGAGGAACTTCCCTGTTTTATCTTACTATATAATGATGAAAATTCTGTCTGTCTGTGTGTCTGTTCCATGTTTTTCTCCTCACTGACCTGGTCAATCCATGTGAAATTTGGCACAGTGGTAGAGGGTCATGGGAGGAAATATATGGCATCAATTGGCCAAAGGGGGGCGCTATAGCAACCGATTGAAATTGCAAACTTTGAATGGGCATATCTCATGCCCCATATGTCGTAGAGACATGAAACTTTGCACAGAGATGCCTCTCCTCATGAGGAACAAATTTGCCTCAAGAACCCATAACTTCCGGTTATATAGATTTTCCACCAAAATTGATCTCTTCCTAGGAACATACTGTGAACATAATCTAGGGACCAATATCTAAAGTTCCCTCTTGGCAAAAGTTGGAAAACTTACTAAAACTGAGCTTCTATAAGGCAATGAATATTGAGGAGGGCGTGGCTCATCACATAAAGGTGTATAACATCTCAAGGGTTTCACCGATCACCACGCAACTTTGTAGGCATATGACCACACATAATCTGAGGGGACCCCTCCATTATTGACCCCATCAAACAAAATGGGGGCGCTAGAGAGCTAATTTCTTATCTAGGCCTAACCGCCATATCGACTTTTACTAAACTTGGACATAGATATGTAGAACAGGAAGCCTCAAGGTGACTGGAGAAATTGAACTCTAATTGGCAACTGGGTGGCGCTATAACAACACAAAAAATGCTTAAAAATGACTAAAATGCGACCGATCACTGTGGCTCCCCCTGTGGCTGAATGTTTGTTTTTCTAATTTTTGGTATGACTAAGTCATGGTATGGTATGCTGTACTCAATGGGTATGGACTTGTTATTATTATAATTAGTGGTAGTAGTTGGAGCATCCTTATTGTATTTTACTGTAACACTGCATTTGGCTACGTATGTTCTAGGACAACTAGGGTAGAGGAGCATATCATATTGGTCTTGCAACAAGCAACCAGCACTGGACGAACATAGGAGAAAAGTCCTCAGACCCTCTGACCACAGGAACTGCCCCCCAAAAGACAAGCATAAGGCCAGCTGTCATAGATGCCAATTGATCAGAGAGTCACACACAGCTGTTTGAAACTTTCAGTGTAAGAAAAACTGCAGTTGGGGCCCATTAGCAGCTGTCGTCGAAAGCCGTGTACGCCACAAAAACAAAAAAACTGCAGCAGAATACTAAAAGACTACTTAAAGGGGCAGTTAACCCCAAAATCAAAAATAGGCTTCATATTTTCCCTCTTACCTGTAGTGCTATTTAACAGTCTAGATTGTTTTGGTGTGACTTGCAGGGTGTTGGAGATATCGACCGTACAGATGTCGGCCCTCTTTTAAATGTAAAGGAACCAGATGGCACTCGACTTGCTCAAAGTCCCAAAAAAACAAAAAAACAAAATTGAAATTCTCAACAGCGGTATCTCTTTCTTAAAATCATGTTGCCTGGGTCCAGATTCTGCCCACTCCACCTCAAATTGACTGATTCTTATGGCTTCCTGAAATGAAACAGCTGATTTTTGGTAAAGAAAAAAAGAGTGCAGCATGGAGTCTCAATTAGCCAGTTGCCGCCATGGCAAGACTTACACAGTTGTCAAGCTGTTGTTGACTTCATCGCTGCAATGTTTACTTTGCAGGGACGACCCCCATGCGTGTGCGCGCACACACACACACACACACACACACACTCACTAACCACGGCAGCGGCCAAAATCACCCATTTAGCTCATGTTTGCTTGGTCATAAAATGTACAGCCGGTCTTGTGATGAACCGGTCGGAATGTTCGCTCACGTTTTCTGGGGTTAATGTTAGCAAATAAATTAAAAAACAAGTTCTACCAAAACAACCCACACTGCCACCCCACCCCCGTATCGTATCAAGCTAACGTTAGCTAACTACCGACTAACCAGATAATATTAGCTAATTGACAAGCACTTACTGGGCAGAATGGCTCTTCAAATGACGAACAAAGTTTGAAGTTGTCTCCTGGCTGTCCAAGATGTTTATGCCGCATGTCTTGCACTGTGCTGTTCGTCTTTTGCCGTAATAATGGTAATTCTGAAAGCCGAAGACGATGACACTCGGTACCCCTCCCACTGACATGTTGATGCCTATCTGATATAAGAGGGCCTGTTTCTCCAATAAACACGTAAGGTAAGTAGAAAGGGCATGACTGATTGACAGGGTAGTGATCCAATCATGACAACGCCATTCTCAGCATGTGCTCCTACCGGGTAATCAACATTATTTTTTAAATTAATTTATTAATTTTATATTCTAACTGAAAACATGATGTGAATAACACTCGAGTCATTCAAGTCATCATGTCTCAAGTCAAGTCAAGTCCCGAGTCTTTAACTTCCAAGTCCGAGTCAAGTCTCAAGTCTTTTATTTTTTTCTTTTAAGTCACAAGTCATCAAAACAGCGACTCGAGTCGACTTGAGTCCAAGTCACAATGACTCGAGTCCCCATCTCTGCATTTAATTCACACCCACCCTCAGCCGGTACTAGCACCAGAAATTTTGTTCTTTTCTTGGGCAATTACACTTTAACATTTTATTTAAGCTTTCTCATTTGATCACTGTGTCAGACTTTGCATATACTGTATAGATTTGTACCCAACTCAGAACTGTCTCTATCAAATCAGATTTGGCTGTTCAGTACGACTATTCGATGATTACTCTTTTTTCCATGAGGAGTTTTTAAAGTTTGAACGAGGCTCAGCAGGACGTTCAGTGTGACAGCGGTATTCACATTACATAGTAAACAAGCTAATTGGGCTGTCATGATCAGAAATGTGCAACATTTTTTGATGACACAAGATATCGAACAAAAAACAGACACTGTGTCGTATTAAGCTGCTATGAGCTGTAAATTCACCACTTCTAAGCAGGAGAGAGAAGATAATGCTACCTCATGGTGCAGAGTTTCCCCTCCTCAGGGACGCTGCATGTGTCTGCAGCTGTCTGTACTAAAGAGTAGTGTGAAAGTCGCAAGCTCTCACTCTGCAGCAAAATATGGGGATCAAATCATCCCCAGAGGTACACTGCACAACACAAGACAGAAAAAACCAAGACTGCTCAACTTGAGGCAATCTCAGTCGACCAAAGGATCTCTGACTGATGATTTGAATCTCCCACTAGATTTATATATTTGTTATAAATGTATGTTCTTTATCATATGGTTGCCTTGTGCATCATATCTTTTTGGTCGTGATCCTTTGTACATGCTGACATTTTACATATGAAATCACGTGAGATTCAGCATTTTCAGTTGAGGAAATATACATCAAACTTTAACCAGGTCAAGCAAAAGACCCTGGGAAGGAACATTCATGGTGTTAGATGGTAATAAATAAATACTGACCCCTAAGCCAAATCAGTTTCTATCAGTTTTACCTCAGATGCCTGAAGAAATTGTGGGTATCACCCTAAATACTGATATGAAAACAGCACCAAACAGGACCGCAAGGCCCTGCAAAGAGTGGTTCATTCAGCTGAGCCCCCTGCTCTACCCTTCATAAAGCATATTTACACCAGGCGCTGCAAAAATAAGGTCAGGAGAATCCCAGAGGATTCCAACCACCTGGATAACAGCTTTTTTTCTCCCTGTTGAGATCAGGAAGAAGGTACCGGTTACACCAGGCCAGCAATGAGGGGCTCAGGGAGAGCTTCTACCCTTAGGCCACAGTGATCCTAAATAAAGACACTGCCTAAATTATTATGAACAACAATGCAATTGGACTTCCTTCAAAATTTAATCCCTGTTAATTTCTCAATATTTGTTATTCTCTGAACCTTTGTTCCTGTACATACTACATTTTGGGGTTATTTTAGAGTAGGCACCTGACATCAACACTTCTGGCATTTCTCCAGTTTTGGAGACCTTATTTGGCTGTTTGAATAGACACCTATAAATTATTAACTTTATCGACCTATCAACCAGATTTCAACTCGTGTAAACAGCTCAGAACTGCAGATGGAATAGGCTTCTGCACATGAATGCACTATTTTTACTTTGAAGCAGACACAGTCCACTTAAAGTTAACCATCAATGCAATAGGGAAAGACACACCGATTTAGGATCTCTGTGTAAATAGACGTGGCGAGCTATGATGAAGTTCATTTATGTCGCTGTGGCTGTGCTCAGTCTTATGTCCATTGGGCAGTCAGCTCCTGTGAGCAGCTGTGAGAGTCTGATCCAGACTACTGAAATCAGTGGAACAGAGCAGGTAAGACACCCTCTAATCTCACTCAACACCTGTCTCTCACAATCTCTCTTTGTGAATGCTGGATCTTTTTTGTTTCATTGAGCAAAAAAATAATAAATTATGAAAATAACAAAAACATGCACCACCTATTTCTCATGTCATGTAACTGAGGGGGGCACCGTCTGTTTCAGCTGCTTGGGAAGTGGATGGCCATAGCAGAAAGCACAAACTTGCCAGCATCCAAAATCCTGACGAAGATGTTCGTGGAGACTGTTTGGAGCAAAATCACAGCTGCTAACGAGAGTGATGCCATCACTGTTCAACAGTATCAAAAAGTGTAATTTCAAGTCTGAATTCAATTTGGGTTATTTTGAAGCATAAGTGGTGTACAGATTGTCCAGTGATGTTCTTTCCAACTTCTAAGTGTTGAAAATGTCTTCATATGACAGATTAGGCCGCTGCTTCACTGTCACCGTTAAGATGACCTTGGCAAACAGCACTCTCTCTATGGGTGAGTAGTGTTAATTAAACATGCTGTGCAAACATTTGACTGACCTTGTACCTGCACAAACAAATTTAGACTTTGTGTCCAACATTGCAACAGCACACTGTGTTTGTGTTGATGTGTGTTCATGTATGTGTGTATCACCAGTGGAACCTTACGTTGCTTCTGAGGTCATGCTGAATACGAGGTGCCCTGACTGCCTTGTTCTCTACTCGAAGTACACCCTTGATGCAAATACATACAGAGGTCTCCAGCTTCTGAGTAAGACTTGACATACAAACTGAAAAAATAAATGTAGAAGAAATGTCATCACTTTTACAGTCAAAAGAATTCACAAGATGTTCTCGTTGAAATGGACCAGCACTGAGATCAGTGTTTACACTAAAGCAATCGGCCGAAAGAGACTGTGGTTCACAATGATTTTAGAACAGCTAAGGGGTGTTGTTAGGCACGACATGGAGTAATACTGTAATTGAAATGCAGTCACAACTGTGTGTTTACAGAATGTTTCACAGTGGTTTTGAACTGAGCTCAGCCAGTCATAATCAATTACTGGAACTGTCTGTATCACAGTATTATGATACAAAACGTTTTCTGGAAACTCGGTTGAGATTATTTAGATAAAACAAGCAGACATTTTATAATCCAGTGAATTAAATAAATAACAAATCAAGATATTTAATCACACTGATGCAAGAACTCCTGTAAGTACAATAATGTCATTAAACAATGGTGGCCTAATTCAACCTTAGATATTAAGCTACAAAATCTCTCCACAAGTCTTTTAAGGCCCTGACACATCAAGCCGACAGTCAGCCGTCGGTTAGCATCTGTCACCCTAGTCTTTGCAGTGTGTCCTGCACTGTATTGTACTTGAATATTTCTATTTTATGGTACTTTATTCTTATTTTACTATAGTTGTACTTTTTACTCCACTACATTTATGTGACAATATTTGATGCTCTAAGCAATGGTCGTGGTATAAAAAGCAAGAAAGTCCATGTATGGAGGTGGTGGACGGGACAGACAAACACAGGACTTTCCCCCAGGAGACCACTGTTTGTGTTCTGTGTGAAAACAAAAGTCATTGTTGACTTATTTTAATGTAATGTTAAGTATGCTACATAGATACATCACATAATTATGTTGTGTCATGTTACACCCATAGACTGTATAAAAATAATGGAGGCAGCCACTGTGACATCACCCACTGGTTTGTGGACTCCCGTTTTAAAGCCTTTTGGCTGTTACCATCTTGGGTAGCCAGAGGTGACAATATTTGGACAAGAGGTTGCAGCTGTAGAGAAGCAAAGAATGGATCTGACTCACAGACTATGGTGAAGCCTCGCAGACAGCCTGTTACTCAAAGCAGCCTGCCCTAAATTATGCAAAGCTTTAATAAAATGGAAACGGGTGAGTTATATAAAGATTCACCTGTCGCACAGTTGTCATAAATGTTCAAGTTAGCCATCAAGACGGTAACTGTTTTTGTACCAGGCTGTAAACATGTTTACTTCTGCTGTAAAGTTGGACATTTTAACATGGGGGTCTATGGGGAGTGACTCACTCTTGGAGCCAGCCTCGTGGCCATTAGAGGAACTGCAGTTTTGGGTACTTAGGTACTGTATTCCAAAATGTTTGCTGAATTTTCGAGTCCGGCTTCAGACTTCAGTGTTCGTTTGAATTTTCCCAGTGAGCAATTGGAGATTATGCCAACACCACATTAATGCAGGGTTAATAGGAAAACAAGACCAACAGTATACAGCCATGCCAGCAGGTCTGTAATGCTGTGCTTAGACACAACAGTGCTTTATGCTATGTAAAATTATATTATTTTTTAATTTACAAAGTATACATTATTTATACGTATCTTAAAATATTTGATTTCATTATATATTGAATAAAATAACATTGAGTCCATTTTCTTGTGTTTAAATCTCTGAAGTTACTTGACTGACCCTGCGTACACCCAGAGCACTGTATAGCTCCTTTGCATACACCTGTTTGTTTCTCAGGCAGGAGAAAAAGTGTGACTGCTGCTGAGCTGGCTGACTTTAAAAAGCAGGTCGAGTGTCTGAACTTACCAGCACCTGCTGTCCTGGACTCAGAAAAAGGTATGAACATTCACACATAATCAAGCTGCAAGGCCGTAAAACCAAAGCTACATATGTTATTCAGCAGTATGTCCCCTGAGGTTGTGAATATGCTCAGTTTTCACTTTTTTTTATGAAGAAATGTTGAATGCTTAATGTTTTATCCTCTGAGCTGTGAGTTAAAGTCTATGGGCTCTAGTTTTGCAGACTGGGTGCGGCAGAGGCGCAGCGCACCTGCGCTTTGCCAACTGGGTGTGGCCAGGCGGATTTTGCAAGTTTGACACGCCCTGCGCCCTGGCACAGCTACTCCTCTATCCCACCTCCGTCCCTCCTACCGGCGCAAGTCGGAAAGAGGGATGAGAGAAGGCGTGGAGTGGGTTTTACACACATCACACCAATCAAATGAGCCCCTCTCCTCGCCCTTAAATGCGCTGCACGAAGGCGTAATGAGAGGACGGCCAAACTTCTCCCAGGAGGAAACTGATGTTTGGTCCAGGAGGTCCAAGCTCACAGTGTCCGAATATACGGAACTGCGAGCAGACCTCCACGGGCTGATGATGCAAAGGTAGCCTGGGAGGAGGTCACCACAATTGTAAATCAATGTTGCATTTCTCTTGTGCGCATGCGCGCTCTCTCTTTCTCTCTCGCAGTCTCACTCTGTTTCTTTTCTTTTGACTTTTCTAAGATGACAGATGCTGAATATATACTCCCTATCTGATGCTGTGGCTGTTTGTGGTTGGCTGAGAGGGATGTGAACTCATTAGTTTGCAGCTGTGTTAATCAAATCAGGTTGGAATTCCATTATGCGTGCCAAACGTACCAAACGGTGCCAATCCCCTTTGATCTGACATCAGATGTGACGGGACAGTCGATAGAGAGATACATTTATGTGCTGATTGCAGATAGTTGCATTGAATAGTGGTTTTTGTGGGTATTTATTGCATTGTTAATGTGCCTCACATTTTGGAAACCTGCCTGTGAGTTTTTGGTGACGTGTGCGCACTGTCCGCCGGTCAGCCAAACTTCGGCTTACACTGGCTGCGCTCCGCCTGCGCTGACAGTAGACCTGGTTTCAGCTGGCGAGCTTTTGGCGCACCTTCTGCGAAGCCTTTTGGCCGAAACTGTCGCCGCGCCAAGCTGGATCTGTCAACACCTCCCCCTGCTGCGCCGCCACACCCATCTCAGCGCACCTCGGTCTGCCAAACTACCAAACAGAGCGCACCTCAGGTTGCGCTGCTCGAAACTAGCTCTGCGCGGGGTTCGCACCCTGCGCCACCCTGCGCTGCGCCGGGAAACTAGAGCCCTATGTCTCTGCCTTTATTCTGTTCAGCAGCTACAATGGTCGAAAGGCTGTGCATTCATGAATCCTTCTACCCTGGAATAAATACTATTAATTCACAATTGCTTACCTCATAGGTTTTTGCCCAGATGAGTCTGCCTCCCCAGGGACAGAAACCACTGATCTAACCAGTGCCATGAAAAGCATAAATCCTCAGATTTTCAGCATGATTGAGAGAATCACTGACACTGAAGGTGGAATGCAGATGCTTTCCGATATTATCACCAGTAGCCTTACTGAAACAGACGACTATTAACATCTTCAAGAATGTGATGACATGCTCACATAATGAAGAGGCCATGTTGTCTGCAGAGAATTCAGCCAATAAAAATAATAATCACAAAGTATGACTGTTGTTCCTCTGTCTTTTACTATTTGTTTTAGAGTAATTATCAACAAAGTCATTTAGATTTCTTCTATTTTTCTGTATTGTAACTGACAGGTAAAATCGTATCTTTGTATTGTATTCTGAAATTGAACTCCCAGTTACCAAAAGGGGCCCCCGTTCAATTTGCATAATTCATCACCAGGAAAGTATTAAAGGTCCAGTGTGTAGGATTTAGGGTGAAATATTGGCAGAAGTGGAATATAATATAATATAATGAGTATATTTTCTTTAATGTAGTCATCTTGAAATAGGAATCTGCCAGTTTTTGTTACCTTAGCCCTTTCATGCATGAATTATTATAACATCAGTCAAGATTTTTTTCTCCAGTGTTTTATTCATCTTTAGGCAGGAAAAAAATAATTATGAAGTTCATTTTTTAAAACATGCATTTTTAAAGGAGTTTTTCACATGTCCACTCAGGTGGACAGCATGCGTTTAAAGTTTTTAACTGAAGAAATATAAACCAATGAAAAAAATGACTATATTATGTGAAACTATAAAAACACATTCTTAATTCTGTTAAACTAGAGTACTTCAATACTATTCAATGCCTTTGTGAAAGCTTTGAACCTTGTGTCTGACTCNACATATACCCATTTTCAGTGGGTGTTGGCATCCGCCAGGGTTGTCCCTTGTCACCGATTCTGTTTGTGATATTCATGGACAAGATCTCAAGGCACAGCTAGGGGGAGGAAGGGGTCCAGTTTGGTGACCTCAGAATTGCATCTCTGCTTTTTACAGATGATATGGTTCTGTTGGCTCCATCCCACCATGACCGTCAGCTGGCATTGGGCGGTTTGCAGCCTATTGTGAAGCGGTCAGGATGAGAGTCAGCAACCCCAAATCTGAGGCCATGGCTCTCTGCCGGAAACCAATGGATTGCCCCCTCTTGGTTGGGAGAGTTACTGCCTCAAGCAAGGGAGTTCAAATATCTCGGGGTGTTGTTCACAAGTGAGGGGTAAAATGGAGTGTGAGATGGATCGGCAGTTTGGTGCTGCTTCTGCAGTGATGCTGGCGCTGTACCGGATCGTCGTGGTGAAGAGGGAGCTGAGCCGGAAGGCAAAGTTTTTGATTTACTGGTCCATCTATGTCCCAACCCTCACCTATGGTCATGAGCTCTGGGTAGTGACTGAAAGAATGAGATAGTGGATACAAGCAGTGGAAATGACTTTTCTCCGTGGCTCAGCCTTAGAGATAGGGCAAGGAGCTCGGACATCTGGAGGGAGCTCAGAGTAGAGCTGCTGCTCCTTCACGTCAAAAGGGTTCAGTTGAGGTGGTTCGGGCATCTGATCAGGATGCCTCCTGGGCGACTCCCGCTGGTAGGAGGCCCTGTCCCTGCAACCTGGCTCTGGACAACCTGAATTAATGAATACCAGTCTCCTGGGTCAAAGTTGCGGTTTGTATACTATGTCCATTGCTCTGAATAACTTATAATGACACAGATGGGTTTACATTGGAATTGGTTGAAAGCCCGATGTGTTTCATGCAGACACACATCAGGATGTCGCTGTCATCATTATAGTGATGACAGGGACAATGTTCAAGCAACATATTTGGATGCCTTGGGTCTAAGATTGGCCACCCCCTCTGCCCCCTCATATAACCAGCTATAGCTTATGAGGCTATATGCTTATGGTTATATCTCCAAACTTTTTGTCATGATGGCAACAATAAGCTGCTGTAGGAAAGCAGGTGCCAACAATAGATTTAAACCCTGATCTTTGAGCATAGATTATATAAAATGTTGGCTGTAGTCACTGTGACATCACCCACTGGTTTGTGGACTCCCATTTTGAGGCCTCAAATTTGGCATTTTTGGCCGTTGCCATCTGGTTTTGTTTTTTTGGATGCAGAAGTGAGCATATTTGGACAAGAGGGTAGAGCTGTAGAGGAGTGAAAGGTGGATCTGACTGAGAGCATTCTGTCACTCAAAGCGACAAACCACTGATTATGTGTAACTTTAAGCCTTAATAAAATGTAAACAGGTGAGTTATAAAAAAATTCACCCCGCACAGTTGTCATGATTGTTGAAATTATCTATGTAAGCCAAAATCGTTTTTTGCTCTAGGCCGTAAATATGTTTATTTCTACTGCAGGGTCTATAAGGACTAGTCTGAGTGGGCAGAAGGTCGCTGCATAGATCAGCCTCTCATTGGGCGCAACAAGCCACCCGCTGAAGTCCCGCCCTACCACCTCCGGGTGTGTAGCAGTTTTCAAGTGCACCGTTGCTGTGGCACTGCCAAGAATGATTGTGATTGGTTGAAAGAAATAAAAACAGCCAGGGCGTTTTTTTCTCCAATCTTAAAGTGAGAGTCGGCGCAGCCAGACCTTTCTTTTCTTCGTCTGGTGAGCGAGACTAATAAGGACTGACTGGCTTTTGAAGCCTCGAGTGACCATTCAAGGAACTGCAGTTTTTGGCACTTCTGCTTTGGCTTCATTTTTCAGCCTCACAGATTGCCACTTGTCTTTGAGGCACATTGGGGAAATCCAAATTATTAGACTGAGCAAAGTGATGACCCTGATAATATCATTTAGGTTTGAATACAGGGGATTGAATTTTGTAAATTTAATGTTGATTTCTGTGAGTGAAAGCTTTAGCGTCCTTGATACAGCCGCAGCCAGCATGAACCTGAATCAAACCGACCAGCTAGGTGAGTACGGTAATTTATTATTGAAAATGCTGTGCAAATATTTTGTCTGGCATACTATGTTCAAACTTTGCTTCTAGCATTGCAACAGCACTGTGTGTGTGTGTGACCCATTAGTGCCCCTGCAGGCAAAAACACATGCGTGCAGCAGGGGCACTAATGGATCTTCTCTTCCTGAGTAAGTTAATGTTCATTTGTGTGGCAGTTTTCAAAACTAATGTTATTAAGTATTCATAAACCATTATGAACTCCTCATTGTAAACACAGAAATGTATAGCTGCTTAAAAACAACATTAGAATGTGCTACAGGGTGTTATGAATAATTAATATATTGTTAATATTCTGTTTGTAAATACTAATTGGCAGGTTACAATAAAGTGTTACCAAGATTATGTTAAAATAGCTTTGGTGATGTCTGTTGAGACATAAACGAGTCAAGAGGCAGAACTATCACATACGAAGTCAACAGGAAGACACGATTAGATGCGAATTGATGCAAAGTGTAATAGAAAATGTTCCAACTTGAGCTACGAAAAAAAGTGTGTATTAAGTGCTTAAAGGAAAACTTAACCCCGTAAATGATCATATATCAATTACTCACATCGTGTTACATTGAATTCATAAATCAAACTTCTTGCATGATGCAAGGTGAATAAAGAATCCCAAAATTCTTCATCAACTGAGAAAACAAGGGGGACTGCGTTTAATGATAACAAAAAAATATCAAAACATTTATAAACTGTGACACAACTCCTGCAGTACAATCCAAGTCTCATTTATCCAGTCATATGCTCAGCACCTCCAATACACATTTCTTTTGTTACTAAAACTTAACAATTTAAAAGACCTCTGCATATTCACTCTCACACGTAGCCAGTAGCCCTATGTGTGTGAATGCCACACATATCTCCATGCTCAGGTGGTGTTAAATTTAAATGTGGGATATCTGAACAATTTAAATGATATACTGTGAAATTCAGTTATTCATATTTTTTTCATATTTTTCAGGCAGAGTGTCTTAATCTTCAACAACCTTTTAGCCTGAAACAGTAAGGAGGTATGGATATGCCTGCAGTATTTTGTACCTTAAATCATATAGAAGCTGAACTGTGGTAAGTATGCAGAATTATGTTAGAAATGATCTCCACAACATCTACTATAAGATTGATTGAATGCATTCACACTGTCCATGTCTTATAGATGTTTGCCCAGAGACTTACTCTACAGATCCAACATGCTTTTCCGTTGATGGAACGATGGCCAATCTTCTAAAATTAGCTGAGCAGATTACCAAAAGTGTAGGTGGATCAGACTATTTCCTAAAAAATGTCTCAGTTAGTTTCAAAAAAGAACTGACTCTACAGATTCTGTGTTTGAGAGAATTCTGTCAATAAAAAAGATATGACATGAATGGATATGCAGCATGACTGTAGCTTCAATTTGTGGAGGTGTCCTCCCTCCCACAGTTCTTTTGAAGAAAAAAAAAACACAAGCAAGTGGCTGCTCGTTTGGCTCAGTTGTCTGGCAGATCATCGCTCATTCAGCTGACAGCCAGTGGCAAACTTACGCTTTCATAGGGGCATGGGCAAAAAAACATGAAAAGGGCAAAGGCACTTGGCTTGTGGTGCCCAAAGTGCCAGAAAACCCAAAACAAACATTTGATAAACTCAGCAGAAATACCACTTTCCAAATTACTGTACCTCAATGTAATCCACAGACCTTGCTGTGAGCAGTTTCATGTAGGAACTATTTTCTTTCTACCAAACTACACCTGCCAACAGAAACACTGCGCAGACAGAAGCATTTATCTACTTTGCATTATCTAAATGCACAGAGAACTGGATTCAATGTTGGAGGCAGGGCCCTGTTCAGTTCTATGAAAGTTGCTCAGTGGCACATGAAAATTACCCAGCTATTCTACATCACCAGGCCCAGAGTACCCAGAATGCAGAGACTTGGATAAATTGTTTACCTCCAGTTCAGCTGTATTTTTTGCTTTGTTGCTGTTAAGCAAATGATGCATGCTTGCATGCTAAACTGAGATGGAGATCATGGAAAACACCCTCTCTAAACATCAGCCTGTTAGCATTGTCATTGTGAGCATGGTAACAAGTTGAAGTTAGCATTTCAGTGTAAATTGCCATTGTGCCAAAGTGCAGTGTCACAGAGACGCTTGCATGGCTGATGATAGACTTCTTGTTTTGGGCTATGAACTCAGTGTGTCACAAGTAGTTCCCCATCTATAGCTATGAGACCCTGATCGTGGGAACTGCTCACTTGTCAGAGTTGATGAAACCACTGTGCTTAACATCTTCCAGATTAAAACAGCAATGCCTTTGACTTAGTGCTTCTAGATTCTGTGACCTCACATGACTGATAATCTTCATGGAGACTTTATGTCAATAAGCAGGAAAAAAAAATCACACTGATGTACAGAGGAGGATGCCCATAGCCTTGTTTATTGGTAGTTTATTACTGTACATCTGCTCATGAGTCATATGTACATATATCTTTCTCTCCCTTGTACACACACACACACACACACGCAGACCACCCAAGATTATATAAAAAAGGACTCATTTTCTGTGCAGGGTTCAATCAGTCTGAGATCTACGAAGAACATTTGCATTTGCATACACCGTGCACATACACACACACACACACACACACACACACACGCACCCACACCACAAATATCTGCATATGGCCTTATGCCTCGACTTACACAGAACAGACCACAATCAAAAATATAGAAAAGTGACTGATGAACCAATAGGCAACCCAGTGATAATCAAGTGACTTTGGGTCTTTAAACATATAAACCAACACAACGTCTGAGCTTTGTGGGTCCATGGGATATGTGCTTCCTTTACCATCTTAACAGGAAGGGCAATTTTCAATTTCAAAACAAACTCCAAAAGCATCATTTTACAATTGATCTATAGTACACCTAACCCTCTGGTGTAACTTTGGGACATTTCCAATTCTACATTTAGTTTGTTTGAAGTATAATCCCCTGAGTACGACCCGTACAATCACTGGAGCTGAAATAAAATGACTTTGTTTGATCTCAGTCTCTGGATGATTTCATAAATCATAAGGTGTACTGAGCGGACAAAGCTAAATCTATACCATCGTCTTTGTGCTGGCAAGTGGTTGTATCATGTCTATCAAGTCATCATGTGACTTACAACATGTTGACAGTTTTAAAAAATAGTCTTATGCCTTGTTAGATAGCTAGATAACTGAACAAAGGAACAATCTGTTTGCAGTTGCCTTTTTGCACATCCAGAAGACACTGAGCAACACTAGCATTCCAAGGGCCCAGGCACCGAACGTTGCGAGGACCCTATTGAAACAGGAGGGGTTATTTATGCAGATGAATCAGATTTTTGAGGGGCTAGAGGTGCTCTTTGCAGACACATCAGAACCGGTGAAAATTTTGATATTTTATGGGTTTCGTTATCGGGTATGATAAAATATGATACAACGTTTCGCCTACATGTACGAAAATTGATACAAAAAAAGTCTTTCCCCCTTTCGCGATTCTGACTATCCTGTCATTTAAAGCCAAAAAGCCCCTGAAATAATCTTTACAAAAAAAAAAAAAAAAAGCCTTGAAGCCATACTGGACTCAGCAGGAAGTCTGTCACTTTGAAGTTAATATGCTAGTTTTGTGCATTTTTTTTTGGTTATTCCTAGAATTATAGTCCAACTGACTAAATTTTGTCTGCTCTGTCAAAAGACCCGTTACATAAGAACTTGTAAAAAGCTTGAGTTTTAGTCAAACCATGTGACTTTAAAGAGGCATCAATTTTCAATGTTCAGCTACGGAAAAGTAAGTGGTTTGTCACTCCTGTGTAGATGGTCTAATCTGCCCCTAACTTTATGTTTGATAAAAGTCACGGCCTGAAGACAACTACATACCAACATGTAGTTACAGTCATGGTGTCACTGACTAGCAACAGGAAATAACATGTACAATACTTTTACGTATTCTTCCTAGCATGTTGACCAGATCCACCTCAAATTTGTTTTGAAAGACCTTGATGATGCTTTCTGGAAAAAAAAAAAAAAAAAGAAAAAAAAGAAGGGAGTTTTCAATGAAAAGTGTTGCTGTGTTGTGGCAGCCATTTTGCATGTTTCACCATAAAACAGGAAGTTGTTTTACCTTATGCACACTTTGTCAAATCTGCCCAAAATTTGCCATGCTTGACAACAGTCCCAGCCTCAGGAAATAGACATGCCAATACTGAGTTATTGTTATAGCGCCACCTACAGGCAGCAGAAAATGACGTTTCATACTCTGATGTACTTCTATCGGGTTAACCACGTCAGCCTCAAGTGGGGTCAGATGAGCCTTAAGACTTTGATGATGCCATCTTGTGGAGATTGTGAGTTTTCATTGAACATGACAACGTATTATTCGCCATAAAAAAGGTTGTTTTAACTTCAGTGTACATTGTCCAATCTGAACCACATCTCATGTTTCATCAGGCCTGACGACATCAACATGTCAATAAGATGTCATAGTTATTGTGCCACCTACCGACAACAAAAAGTAAGCATTGTGTGACAATTTTCATTTACATGAAATTTACATGTGTGGTCTACAATAGATATACAGCTGTGTGTCTTCTCCTGCACCACATAGTTGTCACAAGAAGTGGTACAAAATTTGCAATAGGTCATGTCCACTTAGGAAATACGACTCCTGCGTGCAGTGTCTGACTTTCACAGAAATAAACAGCAGCATCAACGGTGTGCCACCTCTACCCTTGACATACGCAAAGGTGCGAGGGCCCATTCATCGCTGCTTGCAGCTTTAATTTGGAGTTGTGTTTCCAGTTACCTGATGAATACAAGGTTAAGATTCGCTCACCCTGAAGTTCTTTCATTCATTTCTCTTAACTCTCGTGCGAATTACCTGGCTCTTTAGCTGCTAAATGCTCCACTATGTTCACCAGCTGGTTGCTCTGTGTCTGTCTGTCTGTCTGTGCTGAGCAGATAGAGTACATTGAGTTTTTAACAGAGCCTTTTCTCTGAAAACATCTGCCTGCTGTTGCTGGATGCAGGCCAGAAAATTAAAACAAGCTGAAAGACACTAAAACACCCTGTAGAGCTGAGGGGAACTGCAGAGTCAAGTGCTAATTCTCTGAAGACACATTATTGTAAGTAACCCCTTTCACATTGCAGTTATTTTTCCATTGTTAATATAAAAATACTGATTAATGCAGCGTTAAGTCTGCGTTCCTGGTGTGGGAACACTCTGGTTTTACTCAGTAAAGTTATCAGGCTAACTTCAATGATGCTGTCTCATGATACCAAACTCTGGTATTACCTAACACCTAATAAAGAGGACCTAATACTCTTGGTCACCCCAGACCTCTGAAAGCAAGGAGTCAGATTATATCTAAAACAGAGGAATATTCTCAGAAGAACCACATCCTTAACTTGAGCACTCATTTAAGTAAGCCAAGGTCAGCAGATAAGGAAGAGAGGCCATGTGAAGGTGTTAAGGACAAAGCGATTGTGTGCTTTAGTGTTGACACATGACCATAAAAACAATGGGAAATAACCATGACATAACTTTGCAAAAAAAAAAAAAAAAAACAACCCACCAAGAAACAAAAATACCAACTGAGGCCTATTTCACGAATGCACAGATTTCATGCGCACTCAACCATTTATAAATTATTACAACAAAAGTAACAAAGATTGGTTATGGCAAAGAAATGTGTCAAAGACAGAACCCTGCATGACAGAGTAAAGAGTATCACTTCATGTCTGATTTGTCTTTTTTGCTTTTGTTCTCTCTCTCTCTCAGAAAGACACACACACACACACACACACACACACAAACAGTGAAACATTTTGCAAGCATTAACTGCTTTTCTTTCACCAAAATAGTAAACAAAACTTGAAAAAAAGAAAGAAAAAAAGGTTCCTTCTCTTCATCACTAGTGGCTTTCTTTTCAGCTTACTTGTTCCACTGCGATTCAGAAGCAGTTGCTTGGCAGCCAGCCCATCACCTGGACTAACAAAATGTTGAAGACAAATTGTTCCAGGTAAACTGTGCAGCATGAAGACCCAATCATACTATGGAGAGTACAGTCAGAATGTGTGATTGTCACTGGGTTAGGGGTGACGCAGAGTGGAGTGTGCAGAGATATGAAAGGAGGCGAGAGGATGTCTGGTATTTGATAAGAAGAGTGACATTATTGAGTTCAGCTGTTCTGGCCACTGGCCCAGCATGCTCCTGTAAGACTAGTCTGTCTGCTACAGAGTTGATTTGGATAAAGTTTCCTTTGAAGTTCCATGTTCTGTTGCCTTCACAGCCTCTGGTGACGATCTAGAGCACCAAACCAACTGTTACAAAAGCACTGGGGTGTATTTTTTGCAGGTGAAGTTGGCGGTGTGACACTAGGTAACATGTTAAAGTGTTTCTTTTATCATGGTCTGACTGTGCCATGTGCTTAGGTTAGGGAAAATACAAGTGACAAAATTCCAGTCGTAGCTCAGAGAACTCAGTTTGAGAGTCCAGTCTCCAGCTGTAGCTCCAAAATCCATAGTGCTGCCCATGGCTGGTTCACTCTGACATTCCACAGGCTGGTGCCGGTTAGCGTGGCTCAACAGTGTGCCAGCTTGCCCCATAGGTTATAGTTCAATGGTGAATTCACTCCAAAAAAACAAGTGTTGGGATGCTGGATTTGTAAACAAGGGTGAAGAGAAGGTATGTGTGGGAGAGCGGGTCAAATAGACAGACAGGAGGATTGATGCTACCCTGTAAACAAAAATATTGGGGTATTTATTCAGCCATTGTGGTTCTGTGGCAGAGCTGGGCAGCAGTGGAGGTCTGAGATCTGCCGCAGTCAGGCTAGTCCGGTCTGAAGATGGGGATCTTAGGTAAGAACTCTATTAAGATTACCTGCAGGGGGAAAGAGGAAAAAGGTGTTACTGTGAGACAAAACAGATTTTTCAAGTGGTAGACATTTTGATACAGCCTTTTTTTGTTTTGTTTTGTTATTTTGTTTTTACCAAAGTAGCCCTTACTGTACTATCTAAGGACTGCTTCATGGCAATATTGGATTTATAGACTTTTTTTGCTTCGATGTGATGAAGTAGATTGATATGTCGCAACTTTTCCATCTGACGCTATTATCTTTAAACAGTTCCTGAATTTTAGTTCACATAACATACTCTGGCGCAATACACATCACAGTAGGGCTGCTCGATATTGGCAAAAATCTTAATTACAATTATTTCGGTCAAAATGTGATCATGGTTATGTTGTATAAAAACTCATTGACTTTGGAAACATCATGCATTTGGTGATCTTCAAAGTATGCAGTGTTCTTTTACTGTAACAGTGAAGGCACTCAAAAACGGACATATTGTCCATAAGAATAAATAAATAAAATAAATAACACAAATGTGAGTAATGTAATATAATTCTCCATCATAAGACTGACCTGTTAATAATTCCTGAACATTTACACAGAGCACGCACAATGGACAAATTGTGTATGTACACATGAAGATACATTGTAGCGTGGCTAAAACTCCTCAACCATATGCTTTAACATGCTATTACATATAGTATATGCGCGTGTTGTCAGACATCTGCAGCGATTAACACTGTATAGCATTAGTAATTACTCTGGCACGGCCTAAATCTGTAGTGAGAAGCCGCCTGAATGCCGTGGGGAGAAGGACTGTCCTTCTCGTCTGCTTTTTCTCATTTGGCTCATTGACACATTCAGGTGATGCCACTGTGAATGAAATATTGGCAGGTACCCTGAGAGCCCCAACTTAATATATATGAAAACTCAAAAGGCTGCATCTGCAGAGGTCACAGTAGCAGAGGGTGATTTATTGAAATTTAGTTAGTTAAGGATCTGAAAAGTCGCTAAATCTCGTGAAAAAGTTGCCAAGTCGGCAACACTGAGCACGGCTGTCAGGGACAGGGGGGCCCTGAATTTATAATACAAGACAAAACGAGAGCATTATTAAAAAACAGAATGTGACACAATTATCGTTTTGTCTCTTATCTTGTTTGCATAGTTTTTGGTAGCCAAAACTGAAAATAAAATTTGATTAGCCCTACATCACTGTCTGGATATAAAAACTCATACACTGTGATAAAAGATTCATCACCCACCCCTATGTTGAGTGAATCAGCAATGGTAAGAGTTTACTAACATTACCACTGTGGGATCAAGCAAAAAAACTAACGAGCTTAAACTAGCTTAACTTAACTGCACTGCATTAAACAGTAGGGATGTCCTGTGTTTTGGCGTCTGATAAGCCTTTAAACTCATCAATCAGCAATTCAATCCAGTATTCCTGTATTGTATATTATCAACAGATACTTACATATTCCATCATGTTGTTAGTTTCACACTTCCTTTTGCTCAGCCTCCAATGCAAACACAACTGCAGAAAGAGTGCAACAGTGATCAGACGGTTTTTATAACATGTCCTAGCAAGGTACACTATCAATACACACATATCCATTCATGCCTTCACTGCTCACCTTGTGGTAAAGTCTGCTGTTCTCCCACTCCAGAAGTTTCTCTATAGATCTTCTTGTCTGGAAGGCAACAATGACGTTAGATGACATTCTTTTAGATACAGTGTTATGTTGTTGCAAATGCAACAGGGATGGGTATCTCACCCTCTTGCTGAGGCAGATGACAGGCCACAAACTGAAGCCCAGTGTGCAACAGCAGCAGAGGCAGCCACACAGGAGCCACCTCACATTCACTGGCAGAGTCTTCCTCAGGCAGCTGTTTACACGGTTGATACTGGCTTTGAATTCCTCTGGTGCCACCTGAAGAAGAGCACATACACAATATAGTTTAGTGCAATAACTTCGAATTTTGGCACGTTGAAATGCTTTACTTACACCACTTTCCCACCAAAATTAGTGTATGTAAGCAGGCTTTTGAAACACAGGTAAACCCACTAAAATAGTTAAAAGACTCATTTCCTATTGACAGTAGACCACAGCTGTGTACATGGCTCTGCAGCAGACGAGCATGCATTTCTCTGTGTGAGTGTGTCTTTTTTTTGGTGTGTCATGTCCGACGTCACCGACTTGACAGTAAACAGTAGAAAGCTGCATGGAGGCCTGTGAAAACTTTGTGGTGGTTACTTCTTTTTATATCTCTCTTACTTATTCAGTCAGTCTTTCAAACTCGGTGCAGACTAATCAAAATCAATGTTTGAGCGCTGCTTGGGCAAAGACAGACAGTATTTTGTGGAGACGCGTCATTGCATCTCGCCACTTAAGGGGTTAAAAGTAGCGCGCTTACCTGGGTGTTGTGTTTCCATCAATAGTGATAAGAGCTGGAGGCAATAAATACCCATGACTACTGCAAAGTAATTTGACCCGGAGTGCCGACTGACACCTTTACCAATAAATTCAAAGGACAGATGTTAGCAGCTAGGGATGCTGCGATCCAACTTTTTCACTTTCGATCCGATACTGATACTACAGCTCCAGTACTGATCCGACACCAATACCAATCCGATGCCAGCGCATATTTCTATCTCTCTGTACTGACCAATGGGTTTACTTTTTTTAGTACTGATTTTGTAATGTGGAATAATAGAAAAGGCTTGATCAAGTGCTATTACTCAAAATGAGAATAACATACTTCCTGAGATGAACAGTCCACAACGGTAGGTTATTATGACAAAACTTGAGCCATTTATTAGATATTTAAATTTTTAACATAAAATAGGCAGTAGCATTAAATAAAATAAATAAAATAACATCTCTGTAGTGACTCTGAGACAAGTTAGAAAAAGCCAATATAAAAAAATCAAACAAATTTAAAAGAAGGCTTTGTTTGACATCTGTTACATAAATAAAAAAGTCTACTACTACTGCCAGTGACAGCCTGGTGCTGCTGCTGTGTGTGAAACATACAACTGCAGGGACCAAAGTTCACCAAACACAGAACCACTCTCCTCTCTTCTTCGTGTGTTACAATGAAGTGCTGGATGGAAACGCTGGAGCGGATTTGTGGAATGGAGTGCTAATATCGCAATGCTAGTATTGCACTTTTCCCCTGCAGTGCAATCCGATCCGATCCACGTTTTTTGGCTGGATCGCAGCATATTTTCGATCCGTGATCCGGATCGCAGCATCCCTAGTTAGCGTGTTTTTTGTGCAGGGGATAAAGGGCTGTAGTGTTTGCACTAATATAATATATGCAACAAAAAATGTAATCTGCTTTTTGTAATTGTGATCAGATGAATGCATGCAGCATTGGTGCCAACAGAGAAACATACTGCACTACAGAAATCATAACATTTGGTATCATAAGTTGGCTGGCTGCTAGAATACATGGTTAATCTTGTAGAATGTCAGATGAGCTAATGTTATTTTTCCATATTTAATATGCATTACTAAACAACAAGACACTCACCTTTCCTGTAAGTGCTGAAGGAAATTCTGACTCGAATTTGTTACTCAGCCCAAACCTGTGGGGGAGAGGGAAAACAACAGACTGTTAGACATAAGCAGACCTACAATGTTTGATTATTCACCTTAATCAAATAAACAAACGTTCACCAAGTGGCATCAAGTCTGCCACAACTTTACATTCCAAGCCTCTTGATTACTCCACTCATCCATAGTTAAAACTACTGAGTCCAGCAGGTATCAGGGGTAAATTATTGATCACTGAATATGCATCATGAGAAACCTCCTGTGCTGCACTCTCATTTTAAGGGAGTCCCATAACACAAACACACATTATTATGACATTAAAACAGAAGCTACCATATTTATCATGTAAAACATTTTAGGGATGTCAAAATTGTTGTTGTGTTAGACACACAAACCCCCAGTACATCCATGTCCAATCAACTAAAAGTGATTGCCCACAACTTTACACATTTTTCTATTTATACTAGGTTGCACCTCTGCACTTAAGATTGGTGAGGGAAAACAATGTGATTAGTCAGCACTGTTAATTTAAGTGAATTAATTGGTAGTTTGATCCCCAATACCTGATACTGTCTGCACTCTGTGTGCTCCTCCAGACCTGACCAGACCCGACACAACATCCAGTAACTTCAGTTCCTGCTGCTACAACAACTTTGTGCTGGGCATAGTCACTGAGAGTAGTTTAGTCATTCAGAGTCCATAAAATTAATCAATATTCAATTCATGTGCCCTGGTTATAATATACAGGTTAAAAGTACCAATCTGAGTGCAAGACTTAACACTATCTCTAACGTTACACTTTGAACCTACAACCAGGCTCAATACACAGCACTGCGAGTTGGTTCCCGAGTTCAAGTGCCTAAGTAGTGGAACACAAAACGTTAACGGGAACAAACTGCCTTGTCATGACAATAGCAGACACGACAGAATATCACATTACGTGGCAGAAACAGACAAAGATACATATTTATTGGGCCATGTAGCTACATCAGCTAAAAACGAAAGCTCAATCTTATCAGCCACTCCTCGCCAGAGTTAGCTCGAAGCTAATTTAGTAGCTAACGCTAGCTGGCTACGCTAGGTCACCAGCGGTAGCTAACACAGCTACCAGCCAGTTATCCACGGATACCGCGGTTGCTGGTCGTTTAACGGTGACGGTAAACTCCTCTCTCGGTGTCCGTTAGTGTCGCCGGTTGCTTACACAGTGACGTGGCCGGACCCTCGCACCACCACCGGGTCCGGAGCGTACTTGAGGAGCTGCTCCTCCGCGGCCCTGTCCTCGTCCTCCTCTTCCTCCTCCTCCTCCTCGTAGATCTCATCAAAGTCCTCCATCATCGCACGACTCAGGCTCGCGCTTCCCGGGAGAGACACCGGGACAGACACGATGCCGACGAACAGCGGAACCTTACCGAGAGAAGAGTACAAGAAGAACCGTGAAGACGACTACAGAAAAATATCAACCCGTCCCGGAGACGATACAGTTCACATCGCTCAGCCAGCTCCGAAACAAAACATCAACATCCGCCGCAGTAACCGTACGACACCGGAAGGGGGACAGACGTGCTGACGTCTCTCTTTTTTTCGTTTTTAACAAAAAGACACTAGAGAAAAAATGTTTTTGTATCATGCAGACTGTCATGTTTTTTTTCACTCAAACGGTATAATGTGTTAGATGTGTCAATAAGGACCTAATCTACCTGATACATTTTGTTATTAATATTATTTTCATGAATGTAAATACTCCAGCAAACTCTTTTTTTCTGCTCAGTAAACCTAAAAAAGGCCTGTGTTTAATATAACTATCTGGGAAAATACAATAGCCTTGAATATGTACTAGTACGTCACTTCTGTATGTACAAACAAATCAGGGTAACCTAGCCCAGGCTCTATTTAACTCTCGAGCTTGTTTGTATAGATGTATTCTTTTTTTTTAAAGTTACGTACTTAATGAACTATATATGTATATGTTTATGAACTGACAAACTATATAATGTTCTGTATTCATAAATAGCTAATAAAAAAACATAAAGAGGGGAAGCTGATTGATTTGAACAAAAGCAAATTGGATAGACTGCAAAACTATACATAAAAAAGTAGTAACACCTATGCAACCATTTGTCTCCATTCATTTTAGTTTGGCATATGTGTGTTTTATTGGTGGAGAAATTATTCAGATCCAAGTAGCAATAATATGAAGAAAAAGAAACCTCATGAACAGGTTTAAAAGGTCCTGCATTCAACATTTTTCTTAAATAAAAGCACAGCAGTAAAAAAAAAGTATTATCACCAAAGTGTACTCAAATATCAAAAGAAGTTTTCTTTATGAAAAATGGCACTTTTAGAGTGCTATTATAGTTTATTATATAATTGCATTACTGATGCATTGAGATGACAACATTGTAGTGTTGTTAGTCAATAAGTAGCATACACTAACTACTTTGATTAGTTTAATCTGATCAATGCACTTCCAAGTAATGTGACCCAGTGACTCAGATTGAGGAGCAAAGTGCATCATTACATTGAACACACAGGACACATCTCCTCATATGGGACTCTAGTGCTTTTTCTATTTTACATAAAGATTTTGGTGGAAAATCTATGACTTCTATAACCCCTATTCCAAAAAGGTTGGGACACTGTTTAAAGTGTAAATAGAAACTAAATGCATGATTTGCAAATCTTTTTGACCTTTATCCAACTGATTACAGTGTAGAGAGAAGATATTTAATGTTCAAACTGAAAACCAACACTGAATGGCCATTACCTTTGACCCCTCAGACAACACTGCATTGAAAACCAATATGACAGTATAAAGGACATTACTATATGGGCTCCATGCTTTGGAAAATTATTATCAGTAAACACAGTTTGTCGCTGCATCTACAATTGCAATTACAATTGACTCTATCATGCAAGGTGAAAGATATATATCAGCAACATCCAGAAACACCCCAGCTTCTCTGGACCTGAGCTCATCTGAGACGGACTGACACAAAGTGAAAAAGTGTGCTGTGGTCCAATGAGTCCACATTTCAGATTATTTTTGGAAATTATGGACATCTGCATTTGTGATGGTATGGGGGGGTGTTAGTGCCCATGGCATCATGAAAACTTGTTCACCTGTGATGGCCCCATAAATAAAATAACCTCCAAGTAATGTGACCCAGTGACTCAACTGAATAACAAGATGTATCACTACATTGGACACATAGAACACACCTCTTCATATGGGATTTTGGGATTCATAGTTTATATAAATATTTTATGGAAAATTCATGATTGATGAGACACTTCTTCAAATGGGAGTTTAGTGCTTTTTCTGTTTTATATACTAGCATGATCTATGAGATGATATGTTCTACATAAAGGTCTTCACAAATCAGATAAATATTGTGTAGTAAAAAGTACATTTCACACTGATAACTCTCCAGTTAAATAAAATAGGATACATCAAATTATATATAAAGGACAGCACTTGAGTTAATGTACCTGGTTACCTCTCACTGATGTTGAACGCAGCCGCGTGCAGGTGGATTAAAGCCTGCACTGCTTTGCCATACAATAATAAAAAGATATAACTTAAAAAAATAAATAAATTCAACTTCACTGAATACATTCACATTACATGGAGTATGTATGTTGCAAAGTGAGTCATCATACAAGTTGTAGAAAATATATTTTATAATATAAAAATAATGTGAAAATAAATTCAATCAAATTCATATCGAAACCAAGCCAAAGCGGAAGTTAAGAAATTATCTTTCAAAATACGATATGTACGTTGGTAAGAAGTTACATTTAGCCTACCTTTTAACCCTACAGGCTTTGCATATTTGAGTTTTGAAGCCCAGACTCACATACAAATTAGATGCTTTAATTTACTTTCACACGTGCGACTGTTTATCAGTACATGTTTTATTTTGAAAGGCTTGACCAGAAGTGGTCTTTTCACGCTCCCCATCCTGCTTCTACAACTAGCTTACTTACCGGAACTGCGACTGAACGACGGTCATGTAAGAGATAATCCAATTTTACTGTTGTTATCAGGAAGTTAATCGATAAATGTAAGTTACACGTTTGGTTATCCATCACGGTATACATCAGCTCAAGATGTTTACAGCAGACATCGACTCAATGCAGTTTAGATGTGACAAGTAACGTTACTTCCGGTTAAGGATAAACTTTTGCTTTAGCTCATCTGCAGCGGACATCCTGAGTTATTTTTCAAGATGATACAAACTGAGCACTTTAAAATGATCTTTCAGGTGTTCAGAGACTCGGTTCCTGTCATCACGAGCGGGATTCTAACCGTGGTACTTGGGTCGTGTATTTTGTTTGGCACCCAAACATACTTTAACTTCACTGAGGGGGTCCTCAGTGTTGGCGCCCCTGTGTTTCAAAATGGACACTTGCACAGGCTCTTGGCGTACCCTTTTTACCACAGAACCTTTGCTCAGCTTCTCCTGAGCATCGCAACCCTGGTGTTTCTCTGTGGCAGTTTGGAGAAAGGTGTTGGCACTGTCCGCTTCCTGTTCTTCTTCGTCTTGCTGTCGACCACCACAGGCTTGTTTTACAGCTTCCTGGATCTCATGCAGAGTGACAGCAGCCGGAGCCACACAGAGGGGTTGGTTCCTGTGATCCTAGCATGTGTGGCTCTAACTACCATGCACACAAAAATGACCAAAGGATTCCTGTGTGGAGTCAGTTTCCCCACCATGGCTCTCCCTTAGGTGCTTCTCATGATCACCACTGCCCTCATTCCTCACTGTGTGCTCCCCTGTAACGTTGTTGCCGTCCTGGTTGGGTGGATGTATGGGAAAGGATGGCCTCCTTTTCTGAACATGTCTGAAGCCAGGGCTAGCACTTTGGAGAGGATGATACCTTTCAGGTTGTTGAGGAGCGTCAGGGGTGTTAAGTTTGTTCCTGCTTCAACAGAGGAGAGGAGGAAGACCCTTCTTCCACAAATCAATCCAACACCTGGCTCCTACCCGGTCCAGGCTTACGCTCCATTGTCCAGCGTCAGCACTGCCAATACTGCAGCCAGGATTTACGAAGGCTGGCCGAATTCAACCAGTCCTCTGTCCAGTCCCACACCACCTCTCAATCCTCATGGACATAGCTCTGCACATAGCTTTGGTCTAAGTCATGGACATGGTTCAGAGCAGAGTTTTGGCCAAAGCTGCAACCACAGTCATAATCATGGTCATAGTCATAGTCATAGTCATGGTCATGGTCACGATCATGGTCATGGGCATGGTCATAGCCATGGTCATCTATAGTTATGGTTATTTATTTGACTGCTTTACTCCAGCCATACAGATGAGCCTTTTTCTGCCAATACTGCAATATTTTCCCTGTAAAACACATGTGGAGGTCTGCAGCATCTTTTGTAAGTGGATTGTGTCATCTACAATGTCAAATGCTTGGACACATTGTTAAGCTGAGTTTACAGTAGGCTGCTACCGTATTTGTAGAGTGTTTGTTTGCCTGGCAATGACATTTCTCTGAACTTTTTATTGTTATGGGTGACTTTTGTACATAAACTTATAAATGTACTTATTTTGTACTATTTCCCTCATTTCTACAAAAAAAAGTTGGCAAAACATAAAAAGTCTCTGGGAAATACACCCAACTCATTTGACTCGTGGCATTCTTTTTAAGGGTTGTGTGCACATCCTGTCTTAGATTTACAGGACAAGATTAAGTGTTGTTTTCAGTGCAATAAAATGTGAGTGTAAAGAATGGACTAAAGTTACCAAAACTTTATTGAACTAAAAAAAAGGCAATGTTTTGAGTCCACCCTTTATCAGGCATAACAGTGGACAATGTATACCTGCACATGGGCACAAAACTTAATGCGCCTGGCTGTCATCAAGTGATCAAACAAAAATCGCGTGTTTAAACAGAAACAAAAAACATACTAAGTGTCTGGATATAATAACGGGGGAGTCTGGGGATGGTTGTAATACTTGATGTTACAGCACATAAAACTTGCTGAATTTTTGTCAGAGCTCTCAAATTTTGACACAAAGTACCCCTATTTGTCCACTACAGATAGCAGCTTCTCCAACATCTCCAACTATATCACACAATACAGTAGGTGATGTCTGCTGTTACTTGTGAACTACACATATAGCCTGTGTCCCAGTAAGAAAGGGAAAACAACGATTTTAGCACTAAGTTTATACTATACACTAAGTTTTTATAAATTGATGTTTTTTATAACAACTCGTTTTAGGAGATCCTATGTCCTGCTTCCATGCGATAAGCATAAATCATAATAAGTAGCCTAAAGATATCGAAACGTCTGCATTTTTTCAGTACTACAGTCAGGTCCATAATTATTTGGACAATGATACAGTTGTCATCATTTTGGCTCTGTACACCACCACAATGGGTTTTAAATGAAACAATGAATACCTGCTTAAAGTGCAGACTCTCAGCTTTCATTTAAGGCTTTTTTCAAAAATGTAGTATGAACCGTTTAGGAATTACAACCATTTCTTCACACAG